GTATGGTACCTGCAGCCGATCAATGATTCTCTCACATCATTGATGTTTCTATCACTCTCTCCCTCTCCTTTCCTCTCTGAAACTCCAGTTCCTGGGTGCTGCCACCATAAGCCCAACGATCCCTCGGCTCAGTACTGTGTAGCCCTTCCCTTTGGATATCCCATCCCCTACCCCCTTTCCTTAAATAGATTCAATTAAAAAAAAATATTTTTTCCCCACAAAATCCAATTTTGCTATCAAAAGTTCAGAGAACAAAAAAATCCCAAAACAATAATAAAAAAAGTTTAGAGTACTATTCTCAAAAATTAAAATCTGCTAAAAGAAAAAAATAGCTTCTTCCCTGCAGCTTATGCTCCCCAGCTCATCTCATGCCTTCACTTAAAAAAAAAACCACAAAAAAAAACCCCAACTCAATGGAAACAAGATAGTAGGTGGTACTAAGTTAAACAATTAGATTTCCACAATAATCTCTGGGTAATGCTTCTTTAAAAAGAGATTTTAGCCCTAGCTGGTTTGCTCAGTGGATAGAGCATTGGCCTGCGGATTCGATTTCGGTCATGGGCACATACCTCGGTTGCAGGCTCCTCTCCAGCATACAGGAAGCAACCAATGGATGTGTTTACCCTCGGGTGAGGATTAATTAATTAATATTAAAAACAGAATTTAAACAATCAGGATATTGTGATACTACAGCTGAGACTTTTACCCTATTCTACTTCATCTTTTCCCATGGCAGTACCTAACATTTACAAAAGGCTATTAATTTTACAAGCATTTTTAAATATAGCATTATTTCTAAAATCAAAGTATGTTTAAATTAATTACACCTTAAGTAAACAGTGTACATATCAGGCATTTGATTTCTCAAGGCCTTTGAAAACAGGAGAAATATATTGAAAGACTGTTGAAAAAAACTGGGATCACAGGACTGATTACAAATTCAGGAGAAAATAATTCAGACTCCCCAAGAACAATCTAAAATACTCTGTGTCTCTCCTTCTAAAGAGGTATACTGGTATATACAGTACATTATATCAATGAACTTCCTCTCTAAAGAATATACATCACTAGATTCGGTAAGCCATGTGCTGCTATCACGTGGGCTGTCTTTCCTATAGAAGCTGGCAGGCTGGGAGCTGCTCAGACAAAGCTCTAACATCTGCTTACGAGGACCCAACTTCCACCAAGACTGGAGAAAACTGTCTCACTAAAATAAGTCTCATCTAGTTAATGGTACAAGGCACAGTGATTTAGCTCAACAGTGTCCAGCAAGTTACTTACAGGTAGTATGTAGTTGTGCTATTCCAGTTGGTTAGACACAAGAAAAACAATCCTAGCAAGTATTTGATGGCATGGCAGAAACCACTGCTCCTAACTCTTCCACAATTATCTATTCGCAAAATGTCAAGTATTATGGAGTATGTCTGACTCTTAGTTCCTTTCCTGGTGCTATTGAAGCATCCATCTTATATAAAAACTGCTGTTTGAAGTTTTAATCCTGCTATTTCTGGCTTCTGTAAATGCTCGCTGGCTTAAATAATAAGGAAAATAAGACTACTCCCATTTCATAGAGGCCATTAAACCTTCCCCAGACGAAGTTATCAGTGCTGGCGTCAGGCAAAGCCTTTAGTCGAGGTCTTAAAGTGCCAGCACATAGGGCCCTTTAAGAACTTGCAAAGGAAACTGGAAAAACCCCATATTGGGGAGACAAAGAGCGTAAGATAGTATAAATACAGGAAACTTCCTGTGTGATTTCACCCAGAATTTGAGAGACATTTTATTCTGGGCCCGCGCATAATAAATGTAACCCCATCTCTCTAAGTGTTGCTTAGTTCTTCTCCGGTTTTTCAGTAACACTATTCCCGCTGATGGATTTGTTGATTTGGGTTGGAAGGAATTCTAAAAACAAAATTGCATGTAGACCCTGGAATGTGTAACAATGGCTTATATTTTTGTTAAGAGTATACAACAATATACAATTTGATCAGCAATATTCAAAATGAAAATTAATATTTTTTGTTTAGAAATTTTTAAACGTTCACATTCCCAACTTACTCACAAAACACATACACACTCACTCTGGGCAGGACCCCCAAAAATATGGCAATAGGGCAAAAGACTTTTCTTTTTTTAAATCCTCACATAAGGATATGTTCTTATTGATTTCAGAAAAAGAAGGGAGGAGGAGAGAGAAGCAGATAAACATCGACCAGTTGCCTTCCAAACAAACCCACAACCTGGTATGTACCCTGACCAAGAATCAAACCTACAACCTTTCAATATACAGGGGACAATGCTCCAACTGAGCCACTCGGCCAGGGCAACACTTTTTCTTTTTTAACTTGCTGGTTACCTGCATTAGTACTCACATTCAGCAGCTGTGCTTGTCTTTTCTGCTTTCCCCCATTACTATGTACATGAAAAGCCATTCCACTGATGCTCTGTAAGCCACCCTATAACTGCCTCCTTAGTGCAGCCTCAGCAAACTCTTTTTCTCTCTGCTGGAGCACACCCATCAGCGTATTATCATGCTCAAGTATCTTCCACTTAAAAAAAAAGAAAAGAGCCCTAAACGGTTTGGCTCAGTGGCTAGAGCGTCGGCCTGAGGATTGAAGGGTCCCAGGTTCGATTCCGGTCAAGGGCAAGTGCCTTGGTTGCGGGCACATCCCCAGTGGGGAGTGTGCAGGAGGCAGCTGATCGATGTTTCTCTCTCATTGATGTTTCTAACTCTCTATCCCTCTCCCTTCCTCTCTGTAAAAATCAATAAAATATATTAAAAAGAAAAGAAACTATTCCTTCACCCCAGTTGACCCCCAAATCCATTTCTCTGCATCCCCTCACTGTAAAAGCTTGAAGGGATTTAAAGTATCCAGCTCCACTTCGTCTCTTGTTCTCACTTTGCCCTTCTCCAACCAGACTTCTATTCCTACTGCTCCATTCAAACTGGTCTTATCAAAGTCACCAAAGACCACAGTCACTTTTCTGTCCTCTTACCCATCAGGGAAGTTTACTCTCCATCCCCTCCACCCCCCATATGAAATTTCATTTATTTCTTCTAAGAGAAAAGCGACCCCAATGAAAAGTATTTACTGATGTATCCTCTCCATCTAAAATCACATCTGACAAACGGTAGGAGGCATGTAATACTTGTTGAATGATCGATCTTATTCAGGGGTCCTCAAACTTTTTAAACAGGGGGCCAGTTCACTGTCCCTCAGACCGCTGGAGGGCCGGACTATAGTTTAAAAAAAAAACTATGAACAAATTCCTATGCACACTGCACATATCTTATTTTGAAGTAAAAAACCAAAACGGGAACAAATACAATATTTGTATTTGCATGTGGCCCGCGGGCCGTAGTTTGAGGACCCCTGAATTTTCTTATTCATCTAGGGGCAACAAGGTTTTTCCCGTCTGATCTGTCCCATACAGTCTCTGCAACTGCCACCCTCTGAAGTTCCTTTAAAGAGGAGTAACACAGAGGAATACGTCTATTTCTACACAAGACAAAAAAAGCCTGTTAAGTGTCTGCCAGGCTGAAAGGTTCGACAACACTAAGGAAATTCATCCGTTTTCTCCCACCTCATCAGGCTGGGGCCTGCTTGGCTTTCAGGAGTCAAGGGAGCCCCCGAACCCTACCTTCAGCTGCACCTCCCCCGAGTTCCCACATCTCTCCGGCCTCCCTGTCTCTGGGTAAACGCTGCTGCCCTGTATTTCTGGGGCACGTGGCTGTCTCCCTGGGCACACTCTGGAGCTAGGAAGGCGAGGGCCTCGTGTTGGTCACAGCCATATCCTCGGCCCATTGCCTGGACCAACACAGGATGCCGTGAATATCTGCTGGCTGCATGAATGGAGGAGGGGGGGCGGCAGCCACACACCAACCGGCCCTGGGAGCGCCTAGGACCCCACTGCCTGTGCTCCTTACGGGCAACATCGCACAGAGGCCAGGGAGCCGGCTGGGGCGCACAGCCCGGCAGGTCCGGAACGGTTTCTCTCAAACGGGGGAGGGGCCTATGCTCTGAGACAGACCCAGGCCTTGAGAGAGGCAGGGAGAACCCTAGGCTGGTCTCTCTCGCGAGGGCCCGGGGAAGTCGGGGGTAGGCCAGCTTGGAGACTGGGGTGAGAGCTCTCTCCACTCCGGTACAAGGGACAGCCAAGGGCCCGGCCTCCTCTCCGAAGGGATTTCCTTTCGAGGATATGACCTGGGGTGCTCCCTTCTAAATTCTAGGGTTCAAAAGGGCCGCCTTACGCTTAGGGGTGCCGGGGGAGGTGACGCTCTCAAGGTTCCCCTCAGGCCCAGAGAAAGACTCCGGATTCGGGCGAGCCGTTCGTTACCCTTCGGATGCTCGCGGCCACCCTTACCTGCAGCCGGAGGAGGAGGAGCCGCCGCCCGCGCCCG